ATAGGAAAGACAACTAACATAAGGAGTTCACAGGAAAGACAACTACATAAGGAGTTCACAGGAAAGACAGCTGACATAACGAGTTCATAGGAAAGACAACTGACATAAGAAGTTCATAGGAAAGACAACTGACATAAGAAGTTCATAGGAAAGACAACTAACATAAGGAGTTCACAGGAAAGACAACTAACATAAGGAGTTCACAGGAAAGACAGCTGACATAACGAGTTCATAGGAAAGACAACTGACATAAGAAGTTCATAGGAAAGACAACTGACATAAGAAGTTCATAGGAAAGACAACTAACATAAGGAGTTCACAGGAAAGACAACTGACATAAGAAGTTCATAGGAAAGACAACTAACATAAGGAGTTCACAGGAAAGACAACTAACATAAGGAGTTCATAGGAAAGACAACTGACATAAGAAGTTCATAGGAAAGACAACTGACATAAGAAGTTCATAGGAAAGACAACTGACATAAGGAGTTCACAGGAAAGACAACTAACATAAGGAGTTCACAGGAAAGACAACTGACATAAGAAGTTCATAGGAAAGACAACTAACATAAGGAGTTCACAGGAAAGACAACTAACATAAGGAGTTCATAGGAAAGACAGCTAACATAAGGAGTTTATAGGAAAGACAACTGACATAAGAAGTTCATAGAAATTACAACTGACATAATGAGCCTACACAAGAAAACTGACATGAGAGGCCAGTAAAAGAACAACTATCATAAGAGGATTGCTTAAAAACTGTTGATATAAGGTGTGTACATAAATGAAAACTGACCTAAGGAGTCAACTACCATATTGACTCTATTTGAAACATATTTTGAATAGTAGCACATATAAATCAAAAACCACATTTGTTGTATATCATTACAAATATTACTTATTTTGACCAATGACACACCTCTGTAAATATCATAAATGTATGCACTACATGGAATAATATAGCAAAATCGGTAACACAAAGGAAGCTTGGCAGAACAAACAAGTTGTGTTTTACCTCCTATTTAGAATTCCCTGGTTGAGTCGCTAAAGAGAGATAAACATATTATAACTTTGTCTATTAAGAACTTAGTTCCCAAAAAATAATGCAGTATTTAAATATATACAAGCAAAACTAAAATACTAGCCAGATTTGAAATAGGCGAGAAACACTGCACTTTTTTGATTTATTTGTTTACTATGATACACTTGTCTAATAACATCTTGTTCTCAATATCTGCAGTTTAAATGTCTGTCCATATATTTCTACATTCTTCTCAAATTTACCCATGTCTGAAACTGCA